AACATCCTCCACTATACCTTTAAGGTTGGTTTTAATTTATGAGTTGAACAAAAACACTTTCCCCAAATTCAAATCAATTCAGTTTATTTCTATAGCGCAAATTCACAACACATCAACTTGTTTTGGAATCTCTATCCAGCATTTAACAGGAAGCCGATGAAGTGAGGTCATCAACAGTCTGCCTGCAGTGTTTTAGATCAGTGAAAGACTTTTAACGACAGTTTGTGAGCCTGATAAAGGAAATACATGGACTAGTTTCTCAGCATCAACCCTGGACAGAATATAACACACCACCTTTATTTATACAGCACCTTATTATAACAGAGGTCATCAAAGGGTTGTACATACAACTGAAAATAACAGTAAAATTAAAACAGACAGGTAAAACATAGGCAAGCTAAGTTAAAAACGATAAGATAGGTAAAAACTGTTCAAATAATAATAATAAAAAGGTTTTAAAAAGTAGAGTCAATCTCTTAGGATGTGCAAAATGCTTCCAAATGTTTTTTTTTTTTAACAGGAATCTTAAATTGTGAAAAAGAGGATCCCTGACTGACATATTTGGGCAGTTTCCTACAATCTAGCAGCTGCTTCAGTGAATCTACTTGGAGACAATCCAGAGCTGTTGGTTGGCTGACCTTAGGGTCTGGGTGTGGTCTATGGCGTGCAACAACCTGGTCAGAACTACATCTAACATATTAAATGAAGGCTTAGATCAAGATAATATAATAAGAAGGAAAACTCCACTGGATCAAAACAGTCCAACCACAGTTCAGGTTCTATAATTGCCTCCATGCTGCTTCTCTTTTTAGGGATAAATAATAGAGTGGTACCAATTTAGCAACCAAGCTAATAGGCGAGCAAGGGGTTACCATGACAACCCATAGCCTATCATTTGGTCACCCATACTAGGCGACTAGGTGATTACTGGACATTACTGCAGAACAAGCAGTCCCCTCCTTCACCAGATGGTGGCAGCAGTGATACTCTCAAGTATATTTTACTAAGTTCTTTTTTTAGTGCATAAACGGAAAACAATTTATCAATCTAAAAAATGACAAATACAGAATTCATCCTCTTTTCATGACTAGTTTTATGTTTTATGGAAGAGAAGACAAAGGTATATGTGTCAAATGTATCTACTCCATTTAATGTATGTATTAATATATGATTATATATATAAATATTGCTCATAACCATAAGTGATTATATAGTGTCCATTTTTCCCCTGGAAATGAAAGAAACATCAACTTTTTGACTGAGAGACCACATGCACTGGATGGGATTTAGACAACATCTTAAATGTTGGTGTAAATGGATATAACGAGGGTTTAAGGAACATCTAGTCTTTCTTCAGTGATTTAAAGTAAATGAACGAAAATTCTGAAGACTCTGAATTGAAATCTAGCCACATACCTGGCGCCAATTCACTCACCTTTAATACAATCAAGGGCTGGATGCTTAATTGATTATCGATTTTTCTATTTATAAAGATTTAATTTTAGGGAAATCTGGATTTTCTCCACCAATGGACTCCTTAGACTTCCATAGCCTAGAGCAGAGATGTCCAACTGGCTTAGAGCCAGTGTCCAAAGCCAGTGTCCATAGCCAGTGTCCAAAGCCAGTGTCCAACGCCAGTGTCCAAAGCCAGTGTCCAAAGCCAGTGTCCATAACCAGTGTCCAACGCCAGTGTCCATAACCAGTGTCCAAAGCCAGTGTCCAAAGCCAGTGTCCAAAGACAGTGTCCAAAGCCAGTGTCCAACGCCAGTGTCCAACGCCAGTGTCCGAAGCCAGTGTCCGAAGCCAGTGTCCAAAGCCAGTGTCCAAAGCCAGTGTCCAAAGCCAGTGTCCANAAGCCAGTGTCCAAAGCCAGTGTCCAAAGCCAGTGTCCAAAGCCAGTGTCCAAAGCCAGCGTCCAAAGCCAGTGTCCGAAGCCAGCGTCCAAAGCCAGTGTCCATAGCCAGTGTCCAAAGCCAGTGTCCAACCCCAGTATCCAAAGCCAGTGTCCAACTCCAGTGTCCAAAGCCAGTGTCCATAGCCAGTGTCCATGGAAGGATAGATGGATGGATGATGGATGGATAATATTTCAGTTTTTAATGCATTTTAATGAAGACTGACCTGTCCTCTAAAATGACGCTCTGATTTTCTAGTGAACTGGGTTTTGTAACGTTAGCGTCTCTCCATCTCTCTGGCTTTAATGTCGCTGCATGTTCTGTATGATAATGGCTTTTGTTCATGTATCTGGTTTAGCGTGATGTTTTCTCCTTGCAGACAGCTCAGACCATCATCCTAGTCGTCACCGGCTTCACCATCTGCTGGATGCCGCACCACATCATCGCCATGTGGGCGGAGTTTGGCACCTTCCCGCTCAACAACACCACCTTTGCTCTCCGTATCGTCTCCCACTGCCTTTCCTACGGTAACTCCTGCATTAACCCCATCCTCTACGCCTTCCTGTCAGAGAATTTCCGCAAAGCCTGCCGCCAGGTCTTTGCACGCCACCTGCTGTACAAACCACCAACTAACGGGAAGGTGGTCAGATTCCGCATGGACAACTTCTCCACCACACACTCCAGCACCAATATCTGAAGCAGTTTGGTGAGAACAAGACAATTCCTTCAGGAAAAAAAAGGAAGCTAAGGACGCTCTGCAGGTCACATGATGACAGGGGCTGCAGGTGATTGGCTGCTGTGGTCAGCCTTTACCTAAGCTGAAGGAAACCCATTCTGAACAGGACAATGCATGGATTATTGTTTATTTTAATCTTTAATATTTATCAATCTGCTTCCAGAAGGCAAATACATCTAGAGTTTGTGAAGAGGTTCAAATTTCCAGGGGTCCTTCACCCACAGTAGCTTCTTAGATTTATGATAGTGAATCTGCAAAAACCTTCCCTATCTTTAGTTTCCAGCATTTATAGTCTAACGTACGGATCAGGTCATGTTTGGTGTAGACATGCTCTGAAACCACAACTGCAGAAAACCAAGATAGCCTAGGTTATTCTAGA